GCTCTAATAACTATAACAGTTAATCATTAATGTAAAGTATAATTAAATATCAAAATTGAATAAATTGAAAAGCACTACATGTATGTATGTGTGTGTATGTTACTGTACCAGCATAGGTGTATAAAGCAAAACCTAACCAGTATACTGCATAGACCTGGCCTGGGATTTATCAATCTCAGCTTAGCAAATGTCTTAAGTCAAGAAAAAGTTAAGATGTCCCTAATATCTTAAGCTGATTTATTACCCAATCTTAGCAAAATCTTGGCTTAAAAATCGTCTTATATGGTGCCAACGTACAATCGACTTTCTAATTTAAAGCAATTTTTAAGCTAAGCAATATGGATAAATTTGACTTAAGCAAAAAAATGGACTTAAGACGAATTTAGGCTGATTTCTAGTTTGATAATCAAACCCTGACTCAAAACTCAATGAAAACATTTGGAACAATATCATACATAATGCATTCCAGAAAGTGGATGACTATTACAGTATCAAAATGGTTGCCATAAATAAAACATGACTGATTCATTCAAAATAAAAAAAATACACGGTTTCAAACATTCTAAAATTATTGAATGTTGAAAAAAAAAATTCATGTGACTTACTATAATTAAAGCTTCTAAAGCCAAGCATACACTTATCAGATGTTTGTCTGTCAGACTAAACATACAATGTCTGATTAGACTGTCCAACAGCCATGGAGAGACATAAAACCTTCTGATAAAACTTTGAAGTAGATTTTCAGACTTCTAACAGCCATAGGCAAACATAAAACTTTGAAGAAGCAGAACACTGTTAGAATTCCAACAGTCACAGACAAACAGAAAATGGTTGGTCAGACTTTGATGAAGACAGAGCATTGCCAGACTTCTACAGCAACAGACAGATTTTAAAAAAATAATAAAACTCTATCCAGACATGTCAAATTGAATTTGACAAAAAATGCCAATATGTAGACATGATGTGCCCATATATAGTCATGATGTGCCTATATATCGTCATGATGTAATGTCATCATGACCATATTTATGCATGTCACATGTTTTTGTCAAATAAAATTTGATAGCCTAGACAGGACTTCCATGGACAAACAGCTTATTTGTTTGATCAGATTTTGATGAAGCAGAGCACTGTTAGCATTCAATATAGACAGACAGAATAAGTTAGATAACACTGAAGTGGAGCACTGCTATACTGTACTTCCAACAGCCACTGACAGACAGACAATGATCATGTACATGGAGTAAAACATGTCTGAAAAACAAACAGAACATCGTCAGACTAAAGTATATCACTGTCCACAAGACATTTCTAAAGCTTTCATCAGACTTTTGTGAAGTAGAGCTAGCTCAACTGCCAACAGCCACGGACAGGCAATCTGTTTGAGACCTTTTTTGAAGAACGGCACCTACATCTACATATGATATTTAACAAAGTCCAATGCTTGATGTAACTATGAAGAAACTTTATGTGACTCACAGACAACAATTTGACAGAGTATATGCCAGGCAACACTCCAAAATTAAGAAAGAACAAAGACTGAATAGACACTTCTAACATTGCTCTTGAAGCATAATACAAACAAGACAAGGAATGTTTGAGTAATTTTTAAAATGAAAATGCTTCAGATAATCTGCATATTAGATAATGAAATAAATAATTACACACTCTGGTTTACAGAGGCAGTCTGCTTATTTGCAGACTTAATGTAAGTCACGTTAAAACCAACGCTTCCAATCATACATATTGTAAGCTCCACCGTTAAATATATAAGCTTCACCCCTAAACTATTTGTTTACAGCTGTGCTATCCCATCACCTAAAGTTATGTGGCATGGACACTGACTCCTTGGAGATTTATGCTGTTGATAGAATTATATGGAGGCGCAAAGTTAAGGATTCTGCAATGGCTGTTGAATCATCAATAGTCCAACGTCACATATCTCTCAGAGAAAGTGGCGTCAAGCACCTTCACAAAACAACCCCACAAGTTTACTTCACTGTGAGAAGTATGGTAGGACATGTATGCACAGAATTGGTCTCCACTCCCATATGAAACACTGCCGGCATTAAGATACATCATACTCAGTTTGAGTGATAGCTATTATTATTATCCCATCACATATCATGATTCTCTGACCAGCTGCTAGATTGTCTTAAACACACCAAATGCTTGGCTCTATTATTAATGCATTAACATATTATAATACATAGAATTGTTAGTGTGTACAAGTATAATGCATAAAGACTTCAGTATAAGTGCTATGACATCCCACGTTTTAAATTATGTATAACTGTAATATTGAAATATTTCGTCCAATTCATACATCAATTATAATAATCAACGTTGTCTATTACAAATAAAGAGGAAATTGACTTTTAATACACAACTTGGGAAGTAATACATATCAAAACTCAAGATTGCCCCTTAACATTATATTGATTTGGATAAGAAAATTACTTATAAAAAGACTTATATTTTTAAATTATACAATTGTTGGTTATCGTATAGGTGCTGTGAGATCAATTTCAACCAGGTTCCATGTTTGGTGTAGCGATCCATCGCAATTGTTCAAGGTAGGAGCGTCTTTACCTGGCGGTGCTTTATCAAGGCATAGAGAAGTAGGACGATGCACAATCTCTTTAGTCTGTAAATAAATAATTTTAAAAAAGGGGTGTTATTATAAATGGAAATTATCAATTTCTGCATGTGACTTTGAAAAAAAAAAAAAAGAATGAAACAAAAATGAAACAATACAAATAGTTGAACCCAGACAAACAAACAAATAAAAATTCTATTTAAATTACCATAACAAGTCCCTCTTGCATCAAACAGAATATTTAATCAGGGACGTATACAAGGGAGGGGGGAGGAAGCCGTGGGAGCCGCGGTTTCCCCCTTTGTACACAGTGTTAAAATTTTAAAGCTTGTTCTTGCTAGATACAAATTCTTTCCAAGGATCACTCAAAATAAATATTTCTAATTTATGTAAATATGCATCAGCACACGTTATACCTGTACATATGCCTACTATAACAACACCTAGACTTAAGCATGATTTAAAAAAATCTTAAATCCATAAGTCCCAGGCCAGGTCTTTCAGATACAGAAATGTTTTACAAGCTCTATAAAGTTTTGTTTTAATACTACAGTACTACTAGTAGTAATAATAATAATAATTATGATGATGACAATAATGATGATGACGATGGTGATAATAGATAATAATATTAATAATATTAAAAAGTGAAGAAAATTGTGCTAAAGGTGAAAAGTACTGTAAGTTGTGATTTGTTGATCACAATTATTATAGTATAGTTAAAGCTTAGTAAGCTATAGTTTAGGCCTAAGTTGTCTTGGATATTCAAGTAGATCTCTGATAAAAGATTATGAGAAATTTGTTTTTATTTTGACTATATAATGGTGATGTGATGATGATGAAATTTACTATATAAAAGTGTCATTTCTGGCCATCTAGAGATACTATTTCCTAAAATTTTTGCACCTCAGCCCCACCCATGGTGGTGCTGAGGTGGTGGTTCCTCAATTTGTAAAAGTCCCTCCCTGGTTCACCTCTCTGTTGAATTCCTGGATCCACCACTGTTGAGTTTTATATAATTATTGTTAGGCTTACTAATATTATCTATAATGCGTTTATTGCAATTTTTACTTTATCATCTCAGAACAGCCCTAAAAACATTCAGAGTGGGCTACTTTCCAGGGGCTTGTCCCCTGGACCCCCCACAGGGTCCTACATAATTCGTATAACGGCTCATCCCCCCTTTCAAAATCCTGGCTACGTCCCTGTATTTAATAGCTTATCAAACTTGGAGAATGTGCTAAAAACGGAATTGAAAACCAAAGCCTGGCAAAAGTCTATTTTATTATAAAAAGAAAAACAAATAAGTAAATTTAACTGATGTATTTCAGGAAGTGCAGTTATTCTATTCATTAGGGGAATGCCATGACCATGCTTTGCACCTTTAGTTTTCAGCCATGATATCATATATTTTTAAATATTTATTTAGGCACACAACAAATGCACCAAGAATTGTCAATAGCAAATATATCACTGTCCTACTTGTGGGCGACTTCACCTTTCACAAGACAATACACACACGATGCTTTACACAAAATAAATCTCAATACAAGGTTTAGAGAGTGGAGTTGTTTTGGTCATGAGAAAAAAAATCCTGAAACACTGACAGGAATTGAACCCAGCACCGTGGGATTGGAAGGCAAGCATCCTAACCACCAAGCAACATTTCTGTTCCTGCATTTTACCAAAGAATATGCAAGAGGTCCAACTGCCATGATTTTGTATGCACACGCAATGTACTACCACAGTATTTTGAAGGACGCCCTTTACTTCATGATAGTTATTTTTTTGAGAGGAATTGCGTTCCAACAAAACCCAGAGTGTTGGACATCTTGCAGTACTACACTCTGTGATGTTACGCTGTGCTGCATTTCCAGCAATGAAAAATGATGATTTTGTTACATCCCATGCATACTTACATCATCCTTGTATAGCCACTCTTGATTCCCACGTTTACCATGACATTTAAACAGAATAATATCTTTGTAATTGGAATCCTTTGATGAGTCTATACACAAATCATCATGTTTCAATTCATTCGTATGGCTAAGTGCAAATATCTATGGTGAGAAAAAAAATGTGTTACAAAGCTGATAAAAAAAAAATTTCATGTTCAAAAAGCAAATTTGTTATTGACTGTACAGGTGAGTGAGCACATTCTCCCCATCCCTGTTTTTGTTTCTTCTGTTCCCTTGTATGGCCTGTGATGAAGACCAGTCACTGATGCATGGGCCCAATTAAATGCTCACCCCTAGTGAGTGGCTTTGTGGACTAATCCTAAGGGGGGGGGGGTGGATAATCACACTTCTAGTGATCCAAAATATCTCAATTGAGAGGGAATTATTAAGCATATATTTAGTAGGCCCCTGAGAAACACTAAGTACTGTAATAAGTATCCTACAAATATGGTACTGTTTATGAAGAGAGGAAAATCATTTAAGAAGAAAAAACTGTAATAAAGGAATTTATATAAGGTAAAGAGACATAGTGGAGGAAAAAATAATAAAAGAATATATGAAAAAAAGTCTAGTCAGTTATTTGAAAACCAAGAGGTATGATGAAAAGAAAATTATGAGAAGATTCAGAAGTCAAGAGAAAGACATGTAATACTGTAGTTCAAAGGACTTAGGTAGAAGAAACCTTATTAGAAAGTGATCTAGAAAATTCAGGACAGATGGAAGTAAAATCTATGCAAAAATTTCATCAACTTGTAGCTCACTATAAGAGCGAAAACCACATTGTTTTGTTTTTCTTTTTTATATATTTTATACCAAAAACATTTAAAATACAACATTCGTATATGACTTAGACTGCCAAGGTGTGGACGATCTATTATTGATAAAAAAACATTATTAAAAAACAAATTCATATAGTGTGGAAATAATACTAATAATAACAAAAAAAAAATATAAGAATTGCTACATACCTGATTTCCTCCCTGGCCGTGACATTTGAAAATGCCTATTTTATCATGCTCTTTCCGTCCCATACTATCTAAACATTGAGATGTTTCACCATTTCTAATCTACAATGAAAAGTAAACAAATGATTATTCATATATATTATATATCAATCAACATATATATATCCAGATATATATACATATACATATATATATTATATATTATATATATATATAAAAAAAAAAATATATATATATATATATAAATATATAATTTGGAATTAAACTTTGGTTAATTTTTAATTAAGAAGTAATGTTTAATTTTGTTATGTTTGATATTTTAAAAAAATATTATGTATTGTGAGATTTGGAGTCAAACTTCGATTAGCGCAAGCTATTTTTGACTTCCTTTCACCGATTTGTGTGAATAAATAAATTATAAATATAAATAATAATATAAATATTATATATATATATATATATAATATTTATATTACCTGTATTAATTATTGATATTTATATCATTATTACCAGTGGCAGATTCAAGGGAGCACAGCTGGCCTGGGCCCACCAAATTGTTTAAAATTTTTTTAATGGAGATATAAAAAAATTATATTTAAATTTTAATTCTAAGAGTGCAATCTCGGCCACAATATTTTTTTACCTCAGTCCTAAATATGGTGGGAGACTGCATGAGGTGGTATAGATCCTCCATCTGTGAAATTACCTCCTCGGGCCCCCTCTATTTTGAATTCCTGGATCCGCCACTGATCACTACTATTATCAACCATGTATGGTTCATAAAATATATACTGAATGATAAGGTTGAGATGGTAAAACACTAAACAAATTTTTGAGTACCATTGCTGCACCCACCATTCTTCAATTTCTCCACACTACAAACCAGACCTCTTTATGGGGCTGATGTCCTTATGCAGCCATTTTAGTTTAATATTATAATATTTGTAATGATGCATGTAAATGCAAATAAGGAAAACAAACAAAACAAATCCAGCACTTTTCTTTAAAGAGAACTCAAAATATATTTTTGAAATTCTTAATTCAGGTAGAAAATGTTAGGGACTTTTTAATGTCCTCTAATCTAAAGCAGTAGTCATTGTATATTTGGTACATTCCCTAGAGTCTAATTATCAATTGTAAAGGTCAAATAACTGGATTTGGCTCCTATCAAAATAATTCACTCTACCATTGACGACAGATTATTCTGAGTCTTGGAAAAAAGTGGGGTGGGGATACAGTTCTTGTGTATCCAATAGTGTTTTCAAGCAATAAAGTACAATTACATGACCAATACTACATGTATGCAAAAATTCATACGTTTTCATGTTCATAAATTCAAGTTCGCTAGTTTGCAAACTTTTGACGAACTTGATGACGTCCGTGTCACAGATGCACGGAAACACATGTAAGCACGATTGCAAAGGTTCTTATTGCTTTACAGCATAGGAACCAATAATAATAGTCATTGCTTACCTCACCAATCATCTGTACATTCAGTCGGAATTGTGATTCTTGGTAAATATTTTCCAAGAACCAATCAAATGATTTACATTTTAGTTTATTTCTTAATTCTTTTCGGAATGTAACATCTCCATATTCTGTTTTACGAACACCTGAAAATGAAAAAAGTTTTGATGGAATCCGTCTATCATTCAATTTGTTTAACCACATACAAAAAAAAACTATTTAGTATAAAGAGAATTCTCTATTGGACAAATTACCAAGCCATACCGTAAGTCAAACATTGCCCAGAAGGAACATGCAGTTTTCCTAAAGCGTATTTGTTGTGTTAGAATTAAAAAAACATTAATAGAAGTTTTGGCATGCTCAGAAAGTGGCCCTGCTGACTTTTTAATAGGGGTGTTCCCTTAATAAGACTGTTCCCTTAATAGACATTGGCTGTAGTGTTAAGATGGATACACACTGCAACCGTCAGCCAGCAAACCAACTCTATTCCCTGTGACCTCTGGACGACATGACGCTGTCTGCTAATTGTCGAAGGCAGTCTGAACGTATCAACATTAAAAACAATCCATTGCATGCGCATTGTGATGCTGCGTTCTTCATAGAATTGCACTGGCCAACGACCGCCGGGCATTAAGAGCAGAAAAAAATTGCCTTAAAATGAGTTTTTCTATAATTACCTGGATTCATTTTATAATAAAAGTTTTTATATTGATCCATCCACACCTCTGCTAGTCTCTGATTATTACGATTAATAATTTTACCAGTGCCTCCAGGGAAAGTATAAGGGGTAGATTTTCTGAACACATGTCCAACATGTGAACAAGTAACTATTTCCAATACACCTCCACACATCCATATCTGAAAACAGAGAATAGAAGTTTAGTGCTTTGATAAAATTGATCTGTCACCCTCTACAGTTGGATGTGAAATTATTAGTTTTTGTGCTACAAATCATATAGCACTTAATTCCAACAAAGCCATCACAATATTACCCCTGGTCATTGGATCAAACACATATTGAACCCATACTCAGCTCCATCGGAAGAAATTTGTTATATTGCAGATAGTAATCAGCGCATTTTGTGTTTAAACCTACCAGGTTCCCACTTGTACTCCTGGGCGCAGAAAGACAACTGTAGGTAAAGTGCCTTGCCCAAAGACACAAGCAAGGGATCGAACCCCTGACTTCATGGTTACAGAAGCTGACCTGCAACCGCTGTGCAAAAACTGCGTTGATAAATTATGCATATTCAAGTGCCTTAACATTTAAAATAGTACTTAGATAACAAGGATCGTTACTTTGGATTATAATTGTCCAGGCCAGCCTGACCCCTAACACCCCACCCCCAACTTAAAACCACCTGTGCTATAGCACAATAAATCTCACCCTAAATGAAATTTCTAGGTTCTCTCCTCCCCAGACATCCATTCCAGAATCATAAGTTCCTATCTCCTCAAAGTAACTCTTATCAATTGCAAAAAGACCTCCAGCCATTGTTGGTGACCTGAAAAATAAAATCTCATCAATAAATTTGTGATTTTCTGTGATTCAAATATATAATCTTACATTTTTACATTGAAACCAGCAATCTACACAGTCTGTCGTGTTTCAAAAAAACACAATTTATCCATTTTTTGAGGTTTTGGCTTAGGGGCACCCTGTGAATGTAATCTATCATGGGAAGGGATCATATACTCCAAACAATTTTGGAAATATAAAATTAGTATCATGCATATTTAATTACTTTCCCAGCTGGTGGAGGTATGGTTATGGTTAGAGTTCCTACAGTATTTAAAGAGAGTTGCAACATATGAAGCTGCTGGGTAGTCATTTTGGTGCCTTGCATACATGAGTGAACGCACAGCCTATGCTACAATGTGGCGATTGCAAAAATAATAGACAATTGAAAAAAATAAAAATATTAATAAGAAAATTTTATGTTATAGTAAATATCTGTTAATCAATATGTGTTTGAAATTTATAACAAAATTCCAAAAGAAATTGATTCTATTATTATTCTATTATTAACTATTATATTACATGCAATTTTTGCTTGACCAAAATTGCATAGCGCCTTAGCTGCATTATTATTTTTCCTTTAAGAAGAACTTATAACTTAAACGTTTTGGTAGAACCATATCATTAACTATTATGGTTATTACGTTCAACATTAAGGAGGCTTAAGCGCCCCCATGGGACAAGTCAAGCCCCCCCCCCCTCCAGCCAAGCTCGTTGAATAGTCGGACCAAAAAACGAGAGCATTGACAATGGCAAAAAATTTGGGAAAAAACATTCAAATATCACTTGGTTAACCTTTGGAAAAATCTTCCACTAGATACATGGAATTCATTAAATTCTTTAACTTTTATTGAAATATTTGATTTAATTTAAAACTATTTCTTTTTGCTTCTTGTGTATACCAATTTCAGTTTTTTTTTCAAACAATTTCTTTAAATTTTATTTCATATTCTAAACATGTTTTTAACTGTTAACGGGACCCTATGGAAGAACGATGTAAATCGATTAAGTATTCAGAATAAAGACAGATTTTTATTTATCTATAACGTTTGAATGTTGTCGGTGGGAGATGGTGTGGTCATATGGTGTGTTGTTACACATATTGAACATTAAAACATAGAGTCATAATTTGTAATCATGTTTGTATGCAGCATGCAGTATTATAGTAGAGATCTACTACTCTACAGTATATAAAAAAATCTCCCAGTGACAGTTACCAGCTTGAACAAAAAAAAAACCTTCTTTTCTCGTGGCTGGCCATTTATGCCATTTGCTATTATTTCCGTAGTTAAAAAGAGAGACACCATCCGATATTCGTGGGTTAGAATGATTACATTTCCATAGAATGCATACTAAAAATACTTTTTAAAGAGATAATGATTGATGAATCAATTTCCAATTACTGGGCTACCACACTTGACTTGACTAAACAAATTTAAATACAATACTTTTGAAATATACAATAGAAGCCAATGAACAACCATTGTACAGTATGACCCCAACACTTTTCTTTTCTATTCCAGATGGGTTTTTGCCTTTGATTCACATTTATTATAGATCAAGATGAATATACTTATTGAATTTGTAAAAATAACAGAATTCCTGTTTTTGTGACTTTAAACTAAACATATTTAAATGCAATACTTTTAAAACATACAACAGAAGCCAATGAACAACCATTGTACAATAGGCCCTAATAGTATGGTAACACAAACACATTTGCCAGACAGAAAGCCCTATCCTCCTAGCCCTTAAGCTAGCCTACCTAGCTTAGCATAGGCCGATGCTGCATTAAAAGGGTGAAAATTCACCAAGTTTAAAGGGCAATTTCTCTAAATTCAGCCTTAACGAAAAGTTTTCCTTTTGAAACAGAGTAAAATTACATTTAATAAGTATGTATACAAAAAAAAATTATCTCTAAATAATGACACATTCTACGCCTTAGGCCTAATTTCGTAAAGAATGGCTGTATTCGACTGGTCGTTCTTCATTAAACCACGCCCATATGCGCAGTGGTAATATCCTACTTAACGAAGAAGACCAGTCGAATAGAAAACTGGTAGACACTCTACAAAACAAAATGGCTGCATAGTTACCGCGATACACGCTACCTAATCAAGGTTTTGACTTCATGTCAACTTGTGATTAGTTTGGAATCCATAAAGATAGCTTACATTTCCTGTAGGCCAAAACTGATTCGTTTATTCGCACCATGGAGATACCTGTACCGTGTACTGTGGTACTGGTCACACGGACTGTACATTGGCACCACGACTTTAAAACGTACATTATCGCTACCAACTAGACTAACATTTCACATATTTCCCGAAATATTTTGACTTCAAAATTCCCTCAAAATCATAGTATAAGCCCTCTCTCTTTCTCTCTCTGAGAGTGGGGCTAGACATTTAAAAATAGGCATATACAAAGCCAAAACATGACTTTCACAGTGTAGAGTGCCATTTCCGGCCATCCAGAGGCCCCTATTAAAAACAAATCTTATTTGGGAGGGGGAAATTTCCCTCCCAAACCCTCCCCAAGCATACAAGCTCAAGTCTTCCTGTCGGACAGCTTAGGCCCTGCCACCCCGCCACCCCCCGAAAATGTATTGTAGAGCTGCCACTGTTTGTTTGATCATGTCTTTCCCCGGAGTTGTACATTACTGCAGAATAGAATAATTTTTAAATTTGGTGGTAAAAGTGCTTTATTTGTTTGGCTTTTATTGGCCATATATTTATAGTGAAATGACAAATAAATATTATCAATATTATTATTATTATTCCATAATCATTAGTATTCCTTTTGAAGGGTCAATTGCATTAGCATAACCTCTTGCCTACAAAGAAGCTTATTTTACGTGGTTCTAAATTAAAATGACTAAAAAAATCAACATACCTCAAAGGTAAAGTGCGATCTCCTTTTCTCCTCTCATTTTCTCGTTGTGGTACGCCATACCATCTGAAGTTCAGTTTCCAGTTAAAGCCACCGTATGTCAAATCTGAACCGGCATGGTAGCCAAAATTATCATCGCTTATGACATCGATGATTGGACAAACTACAGTTTTCCTAATAAGAAAATACGTTTAGCATGATGTTAATTATAATTAAGCAACACCTATCCAAAGCATTGAATTGACAAAAACTGTTAATAAATGGACACAATATACAATGTAATATAATAAATATGAAAGCAAAAGCTAATAAAAGAAAAAGCAACACTTGCAATAAACGTATACTAGTAGATGATTATACATTGAATGCCAACTAATAATTTTTGTATTATGATTATGTTAAATTTAATTGAGCTCCTGTTCTTAACCTTGTTAAAAAAAAACCATTTGGGAGAACAGTACTTTTATATTGAAAATGTATCCAGTCAAAAGAAAGAAACAAAGAATAAAAGAAATAAATAAAAATAAATAAATAAAAAATTGTTTCAATTAGCAGACTATTCCAAATAATAA